TTTTGCGTGAGGCATGAGATTACCTAAATTAATCAAGAATATGTTTTATGAATTGATTAATGTTATCAAAGCATGTGATATGTCATACTCCCTCCGTCCCAGAAAATTCTTCCAACTTTCCTTTTTGGGACGTCCCAGAAAATTCTTCTAACTTCACCTTTTTTATTATTTGTGTGGCTCACATTCATTTCACCTTTTTCTTACACAACTACAACCACACATTTTCACTTTATTCCCACTTTCTTAAACTCCGATCCAGGTCAAACTAGGAAGAATTTTCTGGGACGGAGGGAGTATTAGAGAATATAACATTATTGAAAAGCATGATATGTAAGTTTAATTAGTGAAAATATTATAAATTGATGTGCATGATGTTCCAAGAACCCAAATAGGTATTTTTGGATTAAGGACGTCAAGAAGTACATGCATGTAAAATTTCACGGTAATCGGACTTCGTTTGGGCGGTCAAACGGGCGTTGACCGCCAAGTCAACTGTTGTACCCGATCGGGTATTGGCAAATACCCGACCGGGTATTAACTGAAAATAGCCCCAGGGGCTACTGACTTCTATACCCGACCGGGTAAATGTGGGTACTCGACCGGGTACTGGGTTTTACATCCAACGGTCAGATTTGAACGAATATAACGTGGGTCGTTCAGGTGGGACCCATCCACGTTGATTATTAAGGATTATTATATGACTATATGGCTAGGTATTGTCCATAGTTAAAGGAATGAAAGGTTAGCCATATCCAGGTTAGGGTTTGGTAAGGAATAAAGTTGGGGTTGAGTATCCCAGGACGGTAAATGATCCTGAAACTCGGTTGGGGTTGAGTATCCCCAGGACGGTAAATGATCCTGAAACTCGGTTGGGGTTGAGTATCCCTGGGACGGTAAATGATCCTGAAACTCGTTTGGGGTTGAGTATCCCCGGGACGGTAAATGATCCTAAAACTCGGTAGGATATTATGAATGTAGAATGTAGCTTGTGAGCTAGGCATTCAGGAATGGATGGGAAAGGTCGGGTAAGTACTTTATCTCTAAAAGACTCTTTAAATGAAAAAGACCTACGGGTCAAGTATTTTACAAGTATATACGGTATGTATCATCTTGTGGATGGGGTAACAGTGGTTACACATATACATATATGTAGCACCCTATTTTTGGGTCTCGTGTCTGAAACATTAGTTATTCCTCATATAGCCTGCTTGTCACTAGTACTTTCTATGGAGTACTGACCCCTTCGAGGGCCTCACATTTTTCAGGTTAAGGCAAGAGTCCTATTCCTGCACCTTTGCCTAGGGTGATCATCAAATAAGGAAGACGTAATTCGTGCTTCATTCTTATTTGAAACTATGTAATTGCTCATGGATATTTAAACAATGTTTTCTATTAGACAATTGAAGGGCCCGCGTGCTCATGTTTGCCACGTGTGGCTAATTATCAAACATATTTTATTTCCGCATTTGTTTGATTAATATATTGATGTTGATTGTATGGATTTACTAATCGATTTGGCAATAGAATCTATCGGACGCCTTATATGATTTAAATAAGAATGAACTATGTTGTTCTTATTGGGTTGTACAGCGGTTGTCTACGTGGCGTAGATGCGGTCTGGGGCGTGACATAACCATCTAATAGTCCATATATGAATATCCTACATTTGAGTTTTTAAACCCCATTCAATCATTGCAGTACCAAACTTGTAGTAAATCAGTGGATGAGTTGATAGTAAATGTGCAAGATGTTTTTGCTAACTTATTACCAAAGACACTCAACGATGTTTGGCTAACACTTAAGCTTACAATGGCTGAAGTTCTAAAAGTTAAGGGTGGAAATAACTACAAGCTTCCGCATATAGGAAAACACAGGCTTGAAAGACTATGTATAGTAACCTACTACAGCCATTCAAGTGGACAACAAAGTTGTACAAGATGCAATTGCACATGCCACTCACATGCCTACAACCTGAATTCAGTTATTATGAACACGTAAGTTTTTTTGTCATCTAATCTCTTAGTTAACTCTTTTATCATCATAGAATGGTCATTGACAAACTCTTGGATAAGTGAGTTATCTTCATAGAGTATTGGAGTTATGTTATTCTATTTTGGTATACCGAGTAAGCAATAGTTGTGTAGTAGGCAATTTGTTTTTGTATTTTTGGAACTCTGCGTCACAAATGTGCACAAATAGGCAATTTGTGTTTCACTCACTATCTCAAATACACAAGTCACATAAAGTCCTCTCGGACAGTGAAGTTATCATCATAGAGTTACTTTGAGGTTACTTGAACCACATATAACCCAAACACATTTTAAATTTATCATTGATGCATCACATAACACATAAGTACAGAGGTGGCAGCTAATTAGTCATATAACCTCCAACATGTTGCTGAACAAATAAACTCCTCTCAGACAGTCATATTATCATCATTGAGTTAATTTGAGGTTACTTGAACCTCAACAAACCCTCATGCATTTAACTTTTCATCATTGAGGCATCACTGAACACATGAGTGTTATTAACATATAAGGGTGGCTCTCAATACAATCATATAACCTCCAATATGTATCTGAACATATAAAGTCTTCTCAAACAATCATATTCTCATCACTAAGTTAATTTGAGGTTATTTGAACCTCAACAAACCCTCTGACATTTAAATTTTCATCATTGAGGCATCACATAACACATAAGTACCATCAACATACAAGGGCGACAATCGAAACAATCATATAACCTCCAACATGTAACTAAGCACAAAAATCCTCTAAAATCTCGTATTATCATCATTGAACACTTAAGTTTCATTAGCATTCAAGGTTGACTCTCAATACAATCATATAACCTCCAATATGTATTTCCAAAAAAAAACTCCAACATGTAGTTGAACATATAAACACCTCTCAAACAGTTTGTAAGCTTCATAGAGGTCATATAATAGTCTCTGACATGAATATCATTACCAAACAAGGGGGCGATCAATTTAATCATATCGCCTCCAACAACATATCTAAACACATTAAAACAACCACATATTTCGTACAACAAATCATAGCATGTATAACCCCACAGTTGGCATCATCAGTTAAACCAAATAGGGAAATAAAGAGGGAGTAAGGTATACAGACACAACTTTCATACTAGAAACCACCATCATGAATATTAGGGCCTAGCACATACATATCCTCGATTTAGAAATCGTGATGGCAAAGCAAATTCGGGTCTCCATATGTGCTTGAGCCACAATCCTCAAGGTGATAAAATAAAAAATCTTGGCTTTCTGCCATATTCGGATTCACCCTTTGGCTTTTCATCATCATCACCGTCATGTTCGCTTTCCATCTGCGTCTCCTCCACAACTAATTGAAACAACGCCTCTGCATGGCAATCACATTGCATATCTAGAGACACAAATTTTGGAAACACTTCATCAACATCGATGGTGGTTTCAATGGGCTCAAGGCTATGATTCAATGGCATTTGTAGAGTTTTAGGATGAAGGACGAAGACAAAGATCGGGCGGACATATGATATGACAATGAAGATTAAAAGACATGGACGGAGAAGGGAGGAGCAGATTACACACAGAGATAATGGGGGGTAAAAGGAAGAAAAATAAAGTTGTATAAAGTACATGACACAACTTGGAGAAGACATGACACACAGAGAGGAGCAGAAGGGAAAAGACATGCATAGAAGAAAAATAAGGGCCTGTTAGAAAGTACATGACTATCAAATTGGGACGTAGGGAGCAAATGTTTTGTAGTGTAAATTTCATATTGAAAGTTTTCATAAATGATTGTGGTCAAGTCTTTTTTGCTCCTTTTAAGGAAAAGTTTCCAAAATAGGACTAAATATATTTTAAAATTACATTCTGAAATATGACTTTTATGTTTTTCTTCCCAAAATAGGAGTAATATGTCAGTATTTGGTGTCATTTTATAGTGTTTACTGTCAAATCGTCAATACTTAGTATCATTACTGTCAGTATTTTTTAATTATGGCAGTAACGACTCTTGTTTTGGGAAAAAACATAGCAGTCATATTGTGTAAATCTTGTTTTGGCAGTACACAATTTGTTTACTTCTCTTTAGGACATTTTCACTCCTAGACATGATGGGACCACTATATGCATTTTTTCAATATTATATTCTTATACACGGAATTTACTCAAACTGTATTTCACTTAACTATGTTAGTGTGTACTTCCTCAATCCCTTAGAACTTCGTCAAATTTGACCGACAATGAGAATAGTAAAGTAAAGACTATTTGATTATAGTTTGTACATATAAGAAAGAAATAACAAAAACTACAGATTAATTGAGTAAAAGCGAAAGTGACGAAACTAGCTTGCAGGGACAATAAAAAAAGAAAAGGTATACTCCCTCCATCCCGAAATAACTTTCCTGCTTTCTTTTTCGTTCCGTCCCAAAATAATTGTCATGTTTCCTCTTTTGGCGTGTGACTCATATCAATTTACCTATTTAAATCTCAACCACAACTTTAACTTTTTCGATCACTTTCTTAAAGCTTGTGTTAAGACAAACAAGAGGTTTACTTCGGGATGGAGGGAGTAACATTTTAATGGACGGATGAAGCATACAATTATACGCTAATACACCTAAAGTAGGACACCTTTTAATCGGACTATGAAGTCTAAATTAAGAGGCCGTTTGGTAACACTGTTTTTCAGTTTATCAGGCTTATCAGCCATCTTTTTCACCAAACACGTAACTTTTGTTTTCGCACGTTGAATTGTGTAATAATAAGAAAAAGTAAGGTTGAAGTTACTTTTCTAGATGTATTGGCTAAAGTTACTCTAGATAATCATTTTAGCTATTTTTACATATAATTTTTGCTTTATTTTATTAATAAAATATATTTTAAAAATAATTTTTTCTTAAATAAGAAGAATCAGCCAATGCAGTCATTTCAACCGAACTTCATAAATTTCAGTAGAATCAACCGAACAAGTCCATTTTAGTGTTATGAAACGGCCTCTAAGCTATAATTTTTTTGTCTCTCTCACCGCGTTTCCTAATTTTTCAGCAGATTACTAAAAAGGTCAGCCAGCAAGTCATTATAGTTCTGTGAATATTTCTTGAATCTGATATTATAATTTGGATACTTTAATATTTTGGATTTTTGGGCAAACAATTTATTTATTACGGAGTATTCATTTATTTATTAAAAATCATGCCATTAGTTGTCAACATTTTGTCGCGATTTTTTCCGGTTCCGACCCAGCCAAGGCTTTGCTAGATTTGTGCCGTGATGCTCTGCCCCCAAAGATCTCTACTGATCTGTATTTCGCACTCTCTCCATCAGCTTCTATGATTATAAAGGTGCGATTGTTTCCAAATTGTTTAAATTTCAGTGCAAATAGTTGATAACCCGATGTGTTTAAGATAAAAGATTTCAACTTTACCTTCCCAGATCCATTTATTTTAGTTCTCTGTGATGAAGAACTGTTGGAGGTTTGAATTGCAAATCGGGGTTTTGTCCGTACTATTCTTCTGGGGGCAGTTAGGTTCTGATTTTGTTCCTTCAGATAATTACTTGATAAACTGTGGATCATCCAGTGATGCCAAAGTTGGTAACAGGGTTTTCAAGTCTGATAGTTCAGCTTCAAAATCGCTTTCAACCCCAGAAAACATATTGGCCAATTCTCCTCCTTCAACCCCAATTGCTGCCTCTGATGACTCCCCTCTTTATCAGACAGCTAGAATCTTCACTGGAGCATCTAGCTACAAGTTCTCGATCGGCCAGCCCGGGCGCCACTGGATCCGTCTCTATTTTTACCCATTTGTTTACAATAACTACAACATGAGCTCAGCTAGTTTCTCGGTTTCCGCCCAAAGCAGTGTCCTCCTCTCTGATTTCAATCCGAAAAGCCTGTCTTTCAAGGAGTTTTCAGTGAATGTGGCTTCTAAAGAGATTGTGATAACATTCACTCCTTCGAGCAATTCGTTTGCTTATGTGAGTGCTGTCGAAGTTGTCTCCGCTCCGGCTGACCTTATTACAGGTGATGTCAACACCATTGATCCGGTTGGAACCTTCCGTGATCTTGATGCCCAGTCACTTGAGACGGTTGTGAGGGTAAACATGGGTGGATCTCCATTGACTTCAAGTAATGACACATTGGGGAGAAATTGGGTCAACGATCAAGGCTTCTTGTTGAAATCTGACCTTGCCATGAATCTCTCCAAAGTCAAATCCGTAATTTATCCTGATCAGGGAGCAACTCCAGAGTCCGCACCCTCAACTGTGTACGGTACTTGCACTAAGATGAGGGTCGATGATGGGGACACCACATCTAATTTCAACGTCACTTGGGAGTTCAATGTGGAAACCGGCTTCCAGTATCTTCTCAGGTTACACTTTTGCGACATAGTTAGTCCGTCCCCTAATCAGCTTCTGTTTAACATTTACATCGGTTCGTCAAATATTGCTCCCGATTTTGACCCCGGAGCTAAAGTCGGGAACATTCTGGCAACCGCATATTACATTGATTACGTCACTCCGTCAGCCATTAAAGACAAGATCCGTATCAGTGTGGGGCCATCTCCTCGCAGTGCTTTTTCTGATGCATTTATAAACGGTTTGGAGATCATGAAGATGAACAACTCAAAAGGCAGTCTTGGAATTTCAGACCAAGTGCTCGGTTCCGCCAGTTCAAGTTCCAAGAATATTGGGCTGATAGTTGGAGTTAGTGTGGGAGTACCTTTTGCTTTAGCAATGATTTGCTTTCTGTTTTGCATCCACAGGAGGAGGAAACAGGAAAGGCTGGGCCAGTCAAAAACGTGGATCCCGTTATCTATCAGTGGGTCACACACAATGGGTAGCAAATATTCCAACGGGACTACTGTTAGCGCGGCTTCCAACCTGAGCTACAGGGTCCCATTTGCAGCCGTTCAAGAAGCAACAAACAACTTTGATGAAAGTTGGGTCATCGGAGTGGGCGGGTTCGGCAAGGTCTACAAGGGAGAGTTGAGTGATGGGACGAAGGTTGCGGTCAAACGGGGCAACCCAAAGTCCCAACAAGGCCTGGCGGAGTTCAGAACGGAGATCGAGATGCTAACCCAATTCCGCCACCGCCATTTAGTTTCCTTGATCGGATATTGCGATGAAAAGAACGAAATGATTCTTGTTTACGAGTACATGGAGAACGGGACCCTCAAGAGTCACCTCTACGGCTCTGACCTTCCAAGCATGAGTTGGAAGCAACGACTGGAGATATGTATTGGCTCGGCCCGCGGGTTGCACTACCTCCACACTGGGTACGCTAAGGCTGTCATACATCGGGACGTCAAGTCTGCCAACATATTACTAGATGAGAATTTCATGGCTAAGGTCGCCGACTTTGGTCTATCCAAGACGGGGCCCGAGATTGACCAGACTCACGTCAGCACGGCTGTGAAAGGGAGCTTTGGGTACCTTGACCCAGAATACTTCAGACGGCAGCAGCTCACGGAAAAATCCGACGTATACTCCTTCGGTGTTGTTTTGTTTGAGGTGTTATGTGCTAGGCCGGTGATAGACCCTTCCCTGCCAAGGGAAATGGTCAACTTGGCTGAATGGGCTATGAAGTGGCAAAAGAAGGGTCAACTTGAACAAATCATTGATCCGAGGCTCGTGGGCAATATACGGCCTGACTCTCTAAGGAAGTTTGGGGAGACAGGTGAAAAATGTTTGGCTGATTTTGGGGTGGACAGACCGTCCATGGGAGACGTGCTTTGGAACTTGGAGTATGCACTTCAACTGCAAGAAGCAGTCGTCCCAAACGATCCGGATGAGAACAGTACAAATCTCATTGGCAGCCTCTCTCTGTCCCCACAAGTGAACGACTTCAGCCATACTCAGCTTGACACTACTGCAAACTTGGATGATATTTCGGGTGTTTCCATGAGCAGAGTTTTCTCACAACTGGTTAAGTCTGAGGGCAGATGAAACCAAATGAACCATTGCTGGTCTCCTTTTGGCTTATGACACTTCGTAGGTTTGTTCATTGAACCATGAAAAACAGCGAGTTATAGTTGTTTTTATGAAAAACTTTGTGAATTGCTGAATCTCTCACTAAATTATTTGTGATTGCATACCTTTCTAGAGATCTGCCCTTCGTTTAATTGATTTATTTTTCCTTTGTCTCTAATGTAAAGGGCTCGTTGTATCATCAAATCTATACACAACAATTGGCGTTTTTTTTGGACTGCATTTTCAGTACATATTGCCCAGTTGTTATATCGTGGTACCGGCCCACTATGAGCACCGTGCTCCTAGGAGGTAAAATAGGCATGAACAGTGACGCGGGTGAACAATGATTTTTTTGTGTGTGTTTCAGTAGCAGGTGGTGTAACTCCCGTTTAACATAATGTAACTCACTTTGATAAAAATGTAACTTTAGTCAAGTTGAAATGTAAATTGTCTAAAACGAAATATAAGGAAAAAACATTGATTTCAATGAAAAATTGATCGTAATTGCTCAATCACTTTTTGTAATTAGTGAATGTGTTTTATTTTTAATATTAGGATTATAAAAATGATGTAGTTAAAAAATCATTATTTAATCATTAGTAGGCTGAGGTTTATTTAGTGGTGTAACTCGCGTACATTAAGATGTAACTTGTGTACAGTAAAATGCAAATCTAGAAAAGTTGAAATGTGAACTATCTTTTATTTATATATATACATGTTATAAAAATTAATTTCAATGCAAATAATGAAAATGATCTTAATTACCCATTACTTTTTGTAAATAGTGAATATATTTTTTTAATATTAGGGCTATACAAAAAGATGTAGTTAAAAAAATCATTTTTGGTCATTATAATGGGTTTATTTCGTGGTGTAACTCACATACATTAAGATGTAACTCATGCATAAACAGATGTAACTCACGAATAAGAAAATGTAACTCCATATAATATCAAATGTAAACAATGAAAATACAGACTTTAATTCTGCAATTAATTTACATAAATGGTGAATATGTTTTGTTTTTAATATTAAGGTCATAAATATGTTTTAACGAAAAATCATTTTTAAAGTTTATTTTATTTGAGCACTAAATGAATCTATGTTAATTTTTTGGATTGATGAAATTTTGTTCCGAATTGAATGCAAAGATGGATTACATGACAATTGGGGAGGAGTGTGTTGCGTCAGAAGTGTGATGGAGGAGGAGGAGTGTGTGCGTCAGAAGTGTGATGGAGAAAGAAAAAAAAAAGACGAAGCACTAGCAGCGGAGAAGAGCAGCGACTGGCTAAGGGAGAAGAAAATTTCTCGGTTGCTTTTAATAAGAAAAAAACGGTGCCGTATTAGTACCGGTATACCATGCTCATGGTATACCGGTTGTACGGTATAATTTGCCCATATTGCCCGTTTTATGCATTTTAATACCATTAGTCTATTTGGTAAACCATTAGTCTATTTGGTAAGAAACACTGTTGATATGATTGAATATGCTGAAATATCTATATAAAGAATAATAACATTTAATAAAGTTCATTTTCAACAAAATAAGTCAAAAAAATCTTGCAATTATTATTCTCGTGATAAACAAAATAAACAGGTTTATATACGAAAAGAAGGCTTAAAAAGCTTATTTAATGAGCTTCGTGCCTAATTTAATGAGTTTCGTGCACAATATGGCAACACACCCCCTCCCCTGACACACACGTCTTCATCTAAAGGAAAATCACTTTTTAAATATGCTTTTTGCAATCTTATGAAAAAACCTAAAACAACTCACACTACTGAACAAAGCGCACTTAATGCGATTGCTTTGTATATAAATTATGAGGTAGAATTTGACGAAAATGAGGAGTTTGACGTTCTAAAGTGGTGGAAGTCAAAAGAAAGAATGTTCCCGATTTTGGCACGGATGGCTAAGCAAGTGCTATCAATGCCGGTTTCAACAGTTGTTGTGGAACAAGAATTTAGTTCGGCCGGCAACGTTCTAACGGCGTCTAGAACGAGTTTGAGCGCTGAGTCTCTTGATACGCTTATATGCTACCACGAAATCTTGCAATTATTATTCTCGTGATAAACAAAATAAACAGGTTTATATACGAAAAGAAGGCTTAAAAAGCTTGTTGTCTTGTATATTATCTAAGATAACGTGGAGCCTATTAGTTAGTGATGTTGGAGAGAGGTAGAAAAGGAGAAAGGTAGAAAGGCAATGAAGCCAGGCAAGCCATGGTAACATTTTTTATACATTCATTCTACCAAGTTTTATTTCGACTAGCTTTCTTCCATTTTCAGCTTATATGTAGGATTGGTTACATAAGTATCCCAATCTACATCATTGCTATCAGAGCAGTTACCGGTTCCTGAAATTGTCCATATCCGTTATTGTTGAATCCTTATATCTTATCACTAATTCTGCAAATTGGCCCCAACAAATACTCGACCTTGATGGCACCTACTGTAAAGGATCTGAGATGACTCCATGAGCAAAAAGCTTAATGATGCAAATGGCCAATTCAAAAATCTCAATGACAGAATAAGAAATCTAGAGCAGATCATTTCAAACGTGGTGGGTGGTAATGATGCAGAAACACCAAACTCCAAGCTCCAGAGTGCATTACATTGGTTTAACCATGAGTGTTCTCACGTTAAGCATCGCTCTCATTAGAACGTCACCTTATAGAATGATGCGGCTTAACTGTGAGAACATGACAACACTAACTTTTAAACCAATTTAATGCACTATGGGGCTCGTCTGTTGCACTTTCTGACTTTTGGAAAACTTGTCAATTTCACATAATGCGGTGACAGTTTCATAAATATTCCGCAAATGTGAAAAAGTGCAAGGTACAAAACTAGTAGTGCATCACATGGGCATAAAAGTGTTGTTCAAATCGTTCTCACGTTAAGCATTATTTTCATTTAATCTTGAGTATATATATATAAAAATTATATATATAATCATGTTTAGGCAAAAAAAATATCCGTAATCATGTTTAGGCACAAAGCACTCAATACTAAACAAAAAAATAGGTCTGATTTGTTTAGAGGAAAGTATGGCTTGTCTGGCCCGGGTGCATATTTGAATTAAAAATTTCAGACAAACTCATAGTTCAAACTCATTTGTTGTCGTCTCACCAAACACTTTTGGTTTTCATTTGGACTTTATGTATGAGCTGGGAGAATCTCAAATGACCACATACACAATTGAACAAAAAGGTAATGGCAAGTTGAAATAAGTGTGTATATGGGTCCTCACAAAATCACTCACAGAGCTATTGCGCTTCGAAATTATTCGTGTCATGATGGTCTTTCCATTAAGATTTTCGTTGATTATACGTGGTACATAGAACATTAGGACATGCTTTAGGCGTGAGAATCATGCATGACATTATTATTATTAATATCTTTGGAGAGAATTTCCTAAATAAGAGTAAAAACGTTTTGAAATTCCAAAATAGGAGTATCATGTTTTGTATTCCCTGAATAGAAGTAAATTCCTGCCAAGTTTGGCATTACAAGGCTTTTAAACATGGCATTTTTTTTCCAAACTTGGCAGATTACTCTTATTCAGGGAATAAAAAATATGTTACTCCTATTTTCGAATTTCAAAACGTTTTTACTCTTATTTAGGGCAATTTCTGATATCTTTATTTTTATCTTTATATAATATAAAGTAACAGTCATCGCAAAACAATTGGAGGGAAAAATCCCGCCCAAATTAAGGATATATTGGGAAATTATTTTAGAACGTATAATATGTACTCCCTCCGTCCCAGAAAATTCTTCCAACTTTCCTTTTTGGGACGTCCCAGAAAATTCTTCCAACTTCACCTTTTTGATTATTTGTGTGGCTCGCATTCATTTCACATTTTTCTTATACAACTACAACCATACATTTCTACTTTATTTCACTACCTAAATATGCGATCCAACTCAAAGTTGGAAGAATTTTATGGTAAGATGGAATTGCTTAGCATTTAATACATTTATTAAGAATCTTTAACAACCGAACGAGGTATATATAATATATTAGAAATTTGGAACAATTAAACTCCAAGTCTCCAACAGTCCGACCTGCTATATATAAAAAGTTTATACAACAAATTAAACTAAAAATAAAAACGTGTAAATTTGCAACTGACATATTAGATCTTCAAACCTGCCATAAAAATTCCCGAAAAATACCAAAAAGGAAGTTATGAATTTTGTTATATTTTTTTTAACGATCGGTGTTCAAATAAAAAAGTTGCACCACTTTAAAAAACTAAAGTTGCACCACTTTAATTATTTTTTATTTTATATGCAATCTTAGTGTCATATGAAAGAAAATAAAAAACTTACAACACTGTCAAAAACTGAAGTCTTTTTAAAGTTCTTAATTATTTTTTATTTATATATATGTATATTCGTGTTATATGAAAGATAATAAAAGTTATGAGTTTTGATATACTTTCTGTAACAATCAGAATATAAATATAAAAGTTGTGCCACTTTAAACAAAATAGGTGTTGTTAATTTGGTGTAACCACATTACTTATGCTCATGTTGGTCAAGTTGTTATAACATTTGCCTAAACCGCCAGTTCAAGCAGTGGTTTCCTTAACTCAAGTTTGTCCCAATAGTATTTTCAAAAATACTTTTAACCCAACACTAATTTAGAAATTATTTTTTTATTTAACATTATTTTCGGAAAAATATGTTATATTATCCAATTCTATGTTACAGAAAATACAAATAAAAATACCAATGAATATAATGATTTACTTAGTATTTTCTTAACACCGCTACCAAAAACAATCATTATATAGTATGGATGTTTTTCAATTCATTTGAGTTTTTAAATCTCAAATCAAGCTAAATTAGATTTAAATAATAGACCATATTAGAACATACACAAGACCATATTTAAATGGGCCAGATCAAACCGGAAAATATATCATTCAAATAAAAAAACATCATACCTTTAAAACTCCAATCCAATCAAATACATCCAACAATAAAAAAAATATTTATTAGAGATTATATATTTAACTACCCATTATAATAAGCTATTTTTAATAATATCTATAACATATAGAGCCTTTTTTGATAGAATGATGCAACAATAACAATAACAACAATAACAATAATGCTAATAAAGGAAAAGTATAAAAATTTATCATATAGTTTGGTGCTTACAAGCAGTAATTGACCATTATCGACTTTATTTGTATATTTTATGTTAACATTAATAAGCTTATCTTCAATTGTTG